CATTGGACCCTAACCTGAGCCAATTAAACTTGGGTCACACTTTCACATCCCATTTCTTTAATACACATTTTAATATTAGCCTCACAATTATACCTACATGGTCCTCTAACACGAACATTTTTCAGAATTCATATCTGGAGCTTGTTTAAAATGGCCTTCCATATTGCCCAGTATTGGCTAAAGATACCACTTTGGAATTATAAAAACTGTTAATATGTAACAACTTGTTTATGTTAAATGATTATCTAAATTGTACAGTATTAAAGTTCATTAATATACATAGACAGTTGAAATGTAGCACAGTATTTCAATCACATCATGTCAATAAATTATCTCACCTGTTTCATATTAGGTAGTTTTCTCACAGTACACTCTCCATACATGTATACATTTGTCCCACTTCTGCAGCATAAAATGTTTTACTTGAGACATGCACAGCTGTGTTTTAATTGTTTAAATTTAACATGTTGCATATGGGTTGTGGTGAGCTTCTTTTTTATGCATACCGATAGTGTACTGTGTGCCAGTCCACTTTTCTGAACTATTACTACTCAATCAGATACAGTTTAGGTAGGTATTACTGGCTGAAAAATGCTCTCTTGTTATGGGCATTGACTTTGATAAGCATTGCGACTAAACATAAATTCATACTTATTTTAACCTACTCAAAGCCACAAGTATATGACTGACAGTTCTTATGCAACTGTTTGCAATTATAGCATCACAGAAGAGGCCTAGTGCATTTTTAAGTGAAAAATAAATTATTGTGAGCATTTATGCTGACATTATAATGCATCATCATCAGAAACCTTCAAACTTTGACTGGTAAGATTATAGTTTCATATGCTTCAGTCTTTATGTTCTTGGTAGCAATTGGAAATACTAAGATTTTGAAATGCATGGTACAACAGGAAGCATTCCCCAAATCTAAATTGCTCTTAATTGTTTTGTGAATACAATTTTTACTTGTTACTGTCATCCCCCCCCCCCCACCCCACCCCCCC